TTAATGGTAAGATGACCAAAAGATTCCAGAGGTTTTGTTTTGATGATAATAATAACAATAATAATAATAATAATAATAATTTTATCTTTTTTGTTTTGTTTAGGATATTGTATTACCCAATTTAGATGGTAAGCATACATACAACACAACACACTTGCGCATATATTTATTATATACATTTAGTTGTGAATTTTTTTCTAACTCTCAATAATTATTAATATTTGTTAGGTGTTGAAGCAACTACTCAAATAAGAAGATTTGACATGACTACACCAATTATTAGTATGACATCGAATATAGGAGCTGATGATTGTTTCAAATATTTGTCTCATGGGATGAATGATATTTTAGCAAAACCATTTACAAAAGCTAATTTACTCTCAATGTTGGAAAGACATTGTAAACATCTTATAGTCATTAAAACTTTTCAAAATATTCCTAGATCTATTGTTATTGAGAATAATAATAATTGTACATCTTCGGATGAAGATAATAGGCTAATTGAAGAAATTCCTGATAACACTAATATTTCTACTGGTGGCAGTAGTAGTAAAGCTTACAACAATAACAACAATAACAATAACAATAACAATAACAATAATAGCAGTTGTTGCTTAATTAATACTGGTTGGAATCAAAATCCTTATAATAACATTAACCTTGACAACAACAACAACGACATTATTAATATAATAACTGCTGCTGCTCCTTCTTCTTCTCCAAATACAACAACTTTTACTGCGATGATGACTAGTAATAATTAAAGCAATTAAAGAATAATATAATGATAAAAAATAATAATAATATTAATAATAATAATAATAATAATAATAATAATAATAATAATAATACAATATTCGAAAAAGACTGTGATGATGATAGATTATTAGAAGATCAACGTCCTCGTAAAAGGTTTAAATGTTAATTTTAAACACCACATCCATTTTGCCATTGGTGTTCTTATACACTATTGTATTATTTTTTTATAATAGACTTTGTAAAATAATTTCTTTTATTTATTTATATA